GTAAGGTGCAATCTTTGGTAGCTTTGATTCGTAATGTTATTTTGGAAAGTCTTTTGAGAGTTTATCTGTGAAAAAGAATGCTTCTTAATTGTGCAGACAATCAACTTCTCAGATTTCTATTTTGTTTGTAGTCTAGCTAGGGGTTTGACGTATTGGAACTTAAAAGACTAAATAGTTGTAGCATACACTCTTTGAATTAAGTTAGAGAACAAATGTCTGACACCGGCATTTGTGTCTGATACGGTGCATAAATCTCTCTCAATGTCAGCCTTTGTTCACTTTGACTACTTCGAAAAGCATTTCTGATTGTAGAGCTTTTAGTCTTGGTTTTCTTGCAGTAACTTTTATAAAGAAATCCAATCTTAGCGTTTAGTCAGTCTGCATTCAAGAAGAACCACTTCATCCTGCATAGCTCTAATTCGTCTATAGACTTCTTAATTAGGGTTACTAAATATTATTGTTCACAGTTGTAAAATTCTATATGTACCTATGCCTTCCTAGGAAATCTAGCCATTTTACCTTGTAATCACCCATCTGTTATATGTAATGGGCCACATGGGAATACGCATCATGGACAAAGGGTCTAATGATTGAATTTAGGCTACATAAGAGATGGAACCCTAGGCGTTTACGAACGTTATTCCATCTTTTAAATATCGAGCTCCCTTCTAGTTGATATCGGTGCAAGCCATTACTATACCGTAGAAGACAAAACGAGACAGAGTACGTTCGGCTCATACACAACACTAGTTGAATATTTTTAATATACAACTTATATAATAGATTGCCTAATCACTGTTACCAGTAGAACAGTTCTTTTCGTCGACTATTAAATCTGAGCGGATCAGTGAATGGTTTTAACTTTGAACTTACTTGGTATTTTCAACTTACATTTACATTGCTCGGCTTCCGTTTGACTTTAACTGGCTCCAAAACACTGTATATGCCCGGTTCATAGATATTACGGCGCAATCCGTCCTCATTTCAATAAGCGAAGGTTATCAGTTCTGATTGGACAACGCTCAATCCTATTGCGGAACAACACTATCTAGTTGGGATTTCAGTAGGTGGAAGAAGACGATATTATTCAAAATTCTGATCTGTATTCGTTATTGCAAATGGTGAAGGAATTTGCACCCTTAGATGTGCGAGGAAGGAGATCGTACTTTTAAGCGTTGGCGCTTTCACCGACATAATGGTTCGTCCAAATCAGTCCTAACCGAGTCAGGCAGATTTTAGAACAACGCATTCGCTTTGGTGGCTGTTTCCATTGCATAACGAAAGAAGCGTTCGCTTCATTTCGAAATAGTCACTTGAATGTTAACAGTCAACAAAATCGTTTTACAAGCTTTCCGTATACACTGACGATGTGTATCATACAATGCTCCTACGCAATGAAATCAAATGTTTTTCTGACTAGCCGTCCGGCGACACAAACACACAATACAGATTTTCTTCAATGAAGCCTTTTAGTAAAAATCCAATAATATAATGCATTTCTTCCCTCTGATTAGCAGTCCAGCGCCATACTGTTATGTTCATACATCTCTCAAAACATCTATCCACAGTGTTTGTATGACTTCAGCTTATACGCTGTACGCTGAATACATGCCCACGTCTATTTGTATGCGTAAAATAGAGCAGAACAAATATTCGCGCAAATCAGCAAGCTCAAGGGAGTGATAATAATTCGATTCGGACCTCCCGTCTCTGCCTGCAGCAGTCTCTTTTAATGGTTTGGTGCACTTGACCGATGTTGATGCTAGCGGCACGTCGACGACGAAAGTGGCGACGAAGCTGGCCTTCCGACTAATGTCATCTATGATATGATATCATACGTTATCAAGCGACCGGTTTGATTCACTGATCTCAAACATGTTCTGAGCCCTAGCCGACCTGGCATGTCGTCTGACTGGGTCGAGCAAGTTGTCTCCCACAGGGACATCAAAGCAGATCTCTCATTAAATGACCCGAGCAATATATCTGTAATTCCAATAGAAACACCTGATGGCTTGCAGGGCACCCAGTGGCTTTATGTAGGGAGATAACAGCGAAGGCCTATTACTGCCAGATGGAGATCGGAGGACAACTAAGGATGGACGTTATCTTGGCAACTGGCCCAATACGTATTTTCCTATCCGCTAAAACAATATGGATGATAATTAGAATAATTGTTTTAGAAACATCCAGACATTATATAGTACTGCCTAATAAAGAAATAAACGCCACGATGTACATACAAGGCAAAGCTTTTATGTTTCGATTCTAATTTCCATTTATGCAACCGGAACAGACGGACTGACAGCAAATTCGTTTTCCTATTTGCTTTTCGTTGACCTTGCGTAGTTTTCGTTAAATCCGGTTTTCGATAATACGTTAGATTCCTACGTTTGCTAGTAAAGCCGGTTTGATGTTTCGGCAATGTTCGAGGCACCCAAGCGCTCGGCATAACGTTGCCACACAATAGACCACAGACGACACGGGCAGGAGTGTCGGTGGCAAAACCGCGCTTTCTGAATCGGATAATACCGAAACCTGGTTTCGTTAAGAGCCTTTTCTGACGGCGAGCACCGAGCTATTCACTCAGAGGGCGAACTCATGTTACATTAGTTGTGCCTTCCTAACAGCACGGACGCGTGATGGAGACCAATCGACCTTTCCTACGTTCCTTTTTGTGTTATTATGTAACGTGTTTGTTCGTTGGCGTACAGTCATAATACGATATCCATTCGCTTGTCATTTCCCTGATTGAATGTTTAAAGTTTTACGTCCGGTGTCGCCGTTGGACATATCATCAGATAGGTGATTTCCAGCACAAAATGTGGTTCTTTGGCTAAACGAAGGACATTAACAGCTACTACAATGTGGTAGCCTCGTTTGTAGCCGTGTACTGATTTCTAACCAGCTGTTGTCTGAGCCCGTTTTTCTATGTCGAATATAGTAGATGTACAATCTGAAAGTTGGTACAACACAAAACGACATAAGAAAACTATGTATTCCAGAGCTTGTGCTGTTCCTTAGATTCAGAGGCATAGAACTGACACTGTCTTCTATAATTTTCAAGCAGTAGCAATCAAAACGTTAATAAGCCATGTATTTAATCGTGTAAATTTGCAAAACACGAGGGCTTTCCTGATGCATGGCATATGGGGCAAATTATGAACACTGAGAGTAGCATAATCCTATACTTATAATGCGTTAGTTACCATATCTTACATAAAATTATTACTTACTGATATCGGTCGTTAAAGATGATCGTATATATTTAAAAGTAGGTTGTCTGTCGAGTTTAGTATGCGGACAAGATTGAACATTTTTCTTTCTTTTATCGACCTTTTCCTTTGCAGCGGATAGACTCTTTATACTTGAGCTTCATGGAAATACACACACGTACGTTACTGCGAAATCTAGCGATTTCACTTAAGAACATACATCTTTTCCTATAGTTTAATTAGTTAGAAAGCTAAATTTGAATATGGTAGTCTTTCAACGTAAATTTTTCCATGGCCGAAGATTGAATCTAGTCACACATCTCTAATTCTAGTTCCTATCTCGGTTAATCTCTGCATACTATAAGCCACCATGCGTGGCTTCGATGCGCTGTGACCAGCAGTTATCCGGTCGTATCTAGTTCAGTGTTTTTGAACGACCTTTCAATCCGCAATACGTATCATTGTGCGAAATGCGCTGCTTGAGTAATCGTCCATTAGTTTAACGTCAAGCATGTTTCCATTTTCTAAGCTTTTTCTTGTCTAAGTGACCCTCATGCCGTTCACGGCAACGTAGCGTGGTACAATAACTAGTTAGCCATTGAGGCGGAACACTAAAACGTGACGGTCTGCAGAATGTTCCTATATATTTTATAGTAGATTTTTCCTTTAGACTAGGCTAAATAGTATTTTTTCCTCATCCACAGAAAAAATTGCTGTAGCCTGGAAGAAGGCCAACGTCGAAAACTCATTCTGATGTACGGTTATAGAACCGAATCGACCTACCACAAGAAACGATTTATAGGTTCAGGTGGCTAGTTGAGTTATCCTTCTTTTCGTCTCGACTTTTCATCTCGATGAGGGAAAAATACGTATGACGTTTATACAGAACTGAAGCAAACTACTATAACCTGCAGGGCGAAGCATTGAGATCTTATTTCTGTCAATGTTTGGAGAACTGCTGAAGGCTCATTGAAAAGGCAGCCAACGGCTGATCCCATCTTTGTGAAATAGAAGAAAATAATATTAGTGGTATTACTTTAATATTATCGGCTGGTGACAATCAGCCGTTAACTTCTGCAGCTCAAATAAATGCTTTAGTCGTTCTGGCGAGTCAATTTTTTCAGTGCCACTCACAGAAATAGGATGGCAAATTTAGGGCCTTCTTGATCTTTCAGCTGACCATTGTTTTACAAAATAGAACAGCATGAAGCATTTTTCTATCCGCTAAATTGCGCAGAGGTCCAATTATTTGAGGAAATGTTAGCGAGAAATTGTCCGGCGGTTCTTCTCAGCAATACGGATACTTGCTCCGAAGAATACAGTTAATAATATGCGGCAAAATTGAGATGAGTGGTAGAGATTAGGTCCTTCTGTTCCATATCTGTGATATTCACGTCAGTATCCTCAAGTCAGACTGTATAGATCATTTCCAAAGACCGTTACGTTGATTTGCGACCAAGCGCGAAGTCGGACACAAACGAGCATTTGTCTTACCAAATCCTACTAAATCTTACTAATCTTCGCCAAATAAATTATTAGCCATATATTTTTGATGCGAATCAGGAAGACTGGTCTATCTATCCTTGAAACTGAATAATCTTTAAGAAAGGTCTGCAGCTATAGAATTGTATTGTGCCCCTGGGATCACTCATACACATACATACAAGGCCTGTGATAGTGTAGGTTCTTAATACGACAACTACTCAAAATGGATAACGAGCGCCGTACGGTTTTACTAAGACGAAAAGTTTTTTTTTTCTTCACTTCCTTTCGCTTCATTCATTTCAGATCGCTTGGAACATTACGGTCCAATGGTTAGCGGGTAATCTTACGTGTAAAGTCCTGATGTTTTTTAGGGTATTCGGTATCTATCTCAGTTCGACTGTTCTCGTCTGCTTCTCCTTAGATCGTTACTTCGCCGTTCTTCATCCATTACAGGTAGGCTAGTTTCAAGATCGGGGCACTCAACCGATTGATCCTTTCTCAATGAAATAGTAGATGGACTGCGTTCATATTATTACGGAAATATTTGAGGTCGTCGCTTTCAACTGTTGTCTGTATATACATTTTCCGCCGGACAACAGCTTTACTATAGGCATATATCATTTAACAATTAAGTGGGCGGGATACTGGAGTGGGTAAATAAACAGGGTGTGCTTGAAAAGGTTTTGCTTGATAGAGGGGTGGCGCCCAGGATGAATATTATTTGCAGAATTTTTGTTCGAGCGCGCGTTTTAGCCGTAGTAGCTAAGTTTTCAACGTAGCCTCTTAGAACGTTTACAACTAGCAAGATTAAATAACGACTCATTGCTTGCCTAGTAACTTAATGCATCTAGCTTGGGGCTAGGTTGAATGATTTATTTCACAGTTTTCTTTAATAATCCAATTATCGCTAATTAAAATGTATATATTTTTTCTAATTGCAATTCAATCCGTTTGTAGGTAAACGACGCCCATCGGCGAGGCAAGATGATGCTAACGTTAGCCTGGATGGTGTCTTTCATCTGTTCGGTCCCTCAGACCATCATCTTTTCCTCACTCACCCATCCTGACATCGAAAAATTCACCCAGTGTGTCACATTTGCGTTCTTCTCTGACAACAACCCTAATGAAAAAAAGGTTTTAATAATTATCATTCATTCAGACGTGATAAGCTTCATTCATCTGGGTACTTATACGACATATTGTACGAGTAACACTTTAGATTTGGCTAGATCTAGGGCTGCGATACAAATGTGCTACAGCGTAGCTCTCTGATAGCAGGTACCATCGAATGGCACAACAGTAGCCGTCCGTCGCATAAACGCTGGTAGCTCGTGATGGCACCGTATGGTCAGACTCGGCACTGAACAGATACCTGATGTCAGTGTACCCCACTTTGCCTAATAATAAAAATAATAGATTGTAGATATAGGTAGAATAAATGAAACGTGTCGTTACCTCATGTTTTTGACATATAGCCTCTAATTTTTTTTGACGTACTAGAATCTGCGTTCGCTGCGTTTTTTTTTTGAGCGCAAGTCGTTAATCGATATTCCCGCATGTAAAGTAGTCCAGCCGTCCGAGAGCGCCATTGGTGCATGTTGAAGAACCAATGATAACTTGACAATTTTCCACTGTCTGTATTACAAGTTCTATGATAAATTAAGCGAACTAAAGTACGAACTGTCCAGATACGGATAGCTCTGCTTCGTCGCCATCTACATAGATGTTTCAACAGAATCAGACGCGTGGATCTGACGATTTCTGCAAATGTTATTACAGAGATAACAATTAAGTTTGGTTCCTGAAACTAATCCGATGAATCTGCGTCTGACATATTAGTTTGGAAATCCTGTGGATCAGGCTCTAGACGCAGGACACTGCGTCTATTTATACATCCCGGCTCTGGTCGTACCAATTTGGACCGCGTGAACGAGGATTAGTAAAAAATTAAATATAAATCCAGTGAAACGAAAAATCTACAATCTATAAGCGAATGCATGCGTTCTGAGACATGTGATATTACATGATAAAACCAATTTGAATAGTGAATGTCTACGTGCGCTGCGTGCCACGGTCTTATGGATTTATTGGGGATAGCTATTTAATAGATTGCTAAGATACGTCACGCGTCTCGTGTGCTAGCTCGATTCAACAGTCTTTAATGACGCTTTCGGAAGCGCTCCGGTCAATTTTAGCTTAATGAAATTAGCTGCCTTCGCACATCCTGTGTCGGGTAAAAACAATCGGTATAGTACTATTCTTCGCCTGGAACCTTAAACAAAGCAAATTGACTTTCAATTCCAACTTTAGATCCCGTCTGGTGTTGGCCACACAGTGTCGTGACCACGAGACGTAAGACTGCTTCGAAACGCGCACTGGCATGCAATAGCTAATAAGATCATTGTGTATTGACCGCGTTCGGAGCACATTCAAGTTACTAAACAAAGATTGTTTAATCAGTTTCATCCTCCGCTCTTCTAGCGTAGAAGTAAGTGATCTTTACAATATTAGAATTTATGTCGTACCGTCATCGGCTATTGCGAATTAGAATTAATACGCTTGCTCTTTTAGTCCTAATTTTATGCTCACAATTTGTAATAGCAGATATTTTTTATCTTGGTGCAGATCTACTTTATTTAACTAGCTAGTTGTTTGATATATAGGTGGTTACATAGTTTAAATTAATGTGCTTCCTGTTGTGTCCAGGCTTACACGATCCAGTTTCTTCTTGCTATATACTGGATACCCTTGATGCTGATCGTGTGGTGCTATTTGAAGATACTTCGAGAAATCTTCCGGAGGTCTGGTGAGTCGTCGCAGCAGGAGACCATTCTGTTTCGGATCGAGTTGCGGCGATCCGACCCAAAAATGATGGAGAGGTAGGCATTGCCCTCTGGTAGTAAAATTAATCCCGTCACAATGTTCGTACAAGAGCCATCTGGTAGTCGAAATTTAAGGTCGTACTTAAATACAAGTCGTTGGTTTCGTCAGTTAGAGTAGTAGTAATAGATTAGAAATCATTGTCATGCTTCCTTCTACCGAAACGTACACGGATGAATCGTTCTAAATAAGTTCAGTAAGTTACATTCATTTGGTTGATTTCAGACATCGTAACAAAACACTACGGCTTTCAGTTGTGATCGTTCTGGCGTTCCTGTCATGCTGGACTCCCTTCGTTATAATCAACTTATGGCTACTGTTTGACCCGAAGGGTGTCGATGACCGCATCGAAGATCACATACAAACGTTTATGCTTGTTCTTGCCGGTAAACATACACACACTGAATAGAGAAGAAAACAAAACCCAGTATTATGCTTGACTGAAGATGAGTAGTTTTTCACATCAATTACATATAAATTTATAAAAATATCGGGCTCGAACTATTGGTTAAAATCGATTAGCCCAAATTTATTATTTTAGAAATTCCCGTCGACTATCGCGCGACAAGTCGAGCGTGCTATTAGATGACAGGCAGGCCCCTGTAGGATCCAACTAAGGGTTGGTAGAGGACATGCGTCTAACACTGAACTCAAAAGGAACAAACAATCTTCGCGTATAACTGGGAGGATTAAAAGAGAACTTCCAGTAATTCCTTTCGAATGGTTAACAGCTAATCCAATTTCGCGAATACAAAGTTGTCTTTCGAAGCCAAGTTCATGTCAAAAGCGGAGACCAAGCGGCGTTCTCTCGGATGCGTTCTTTGTGAGTAAGATCAAGCTTATCCGGTCCGACAACATCACGTCAGATATGGTAAAATCGGGTCTTTTCCTTCCATTTGCCCCACTAACACCAACCTCTTTGCGGCCAGTATGTATCACATTCAGCCAATGCGCTTTCCATGAGGAGCGTACTCTTACAAGAAATGTCTCGCATACAGAGGACACAGATATTTTAATACCCGAAATCTACCAAAAAATATATTGTCACTGCCGATAGGTTAGTTTGCATCACGATTGAAATAAAAGTACCCACAGCTTAGTAGAGTTATTTCAATTTGATCCATTGATCGTCGTAGAGCATTGTCATTAGTAAACTAGGAGGGTTGCATGGATAAATGATGCACCTGCGTGGGCTCCTGTCAACCATTAACTGCTGCCTTCGGGAACATTATCTGTACGTGGTGGGTATCACTTGTTCTTCATGGATCTAAGCATAATTTCAGGTCTTATTATGTTCTCTGTTCGGCTCATCTTCGCAGTGCAAGTTTGAAGGTCATACTCAGTTCAGAGCATACCGATTTAGCAATTGACGAACATCTATAAACTATCTAATGGCGTTTTACTATTTATTATTGAACTTGGGGTCAGCGAGATTTGTACGATACCGGGGGCATGTTAATTTCGAGATGGACAAAGTTGCCTACAGATCAACCGAATTTGACTGTCATATCGCTGCTTCCGTAACGCCGTGCCACACAATTAGCTTCTAAGTCTTGTTCGCACCCCATATTCTACATTTCTCGCTAGATTCGTTGCGCCATTGTTCAAATAAGTCTCTGAGCGCTCTGCCAGCTGGTAGCACTCTCTAGGTAAGCTTTAACCCGGGTTCCACCCTCTGCTTTCCGCCCGTATGGCAAATGACTGTAACTGCAAACAGTGGGGAATAATTCAAGTTGAATCAACTGTGTTAAGGAAAACTATGCATCATAGGTTATTACAAATGGTTTAGACGTGATATATCATAAGTGGTTTTTCGACCCTCCCCCGAAGACCCTTAATTGATACAATGTAAGTGATGAATTCTCTGTCATCTTCTAGGGTGCCTATTCTGATCATGTAATCTTCACAACTGACGCTGGAACATTTTTCGATTCACTTGTTAAACCTTTACTAGACAGGTGTCTTCAGACGGTTATCTGCTATGAACAATTTATTTAATAGCAGACATCTGCGTCAATTACACTCTCTCCAACCGGTCCATGTTGGCGTCACGGGGAAAAATAAAGATCAAGAGGTAATCGGGTGAGCGGTGAATAGACGATCTGGAGATCTTATCTTGAACAAAGCAGCATTGTCTCCAAATAAATTCACTTTAGATGGCCAGGCAGAAATGTAGATAAAACAAGAACACAGCTATGCATTAAATTGGCGCTTGGTGTTAAAAGGACGAAAGCCAGTTTCTCTGCGAAGAACGGAACAGCTTTTACGTGGAGCGGAAGCGTCCGTGGCCTTAATGGTGCCTATCGGCTGAGGGCACGGAGCCTAGTGAAAATTTGTTGCTATAATGTCGTATTCCATAATATCACTAATTTAACAATAGTAGTACCCATACGCTTGGGTGACAAGTTGCACAATTCAGGTTTGTCGTCCTTCACGAGAACACTCTTCATAAAACAAACGCTTAGCTAACGACCGGCTGGTCGCTCGAATGTGCGTGGTGTTGTTATTTCTCTTGAAGTTGGCACGGGGCTATAAAACCGTGCATTTCTACTGAGGCTTTTGTCCCTCGCCGCCTATGGGTGTTTGATGTATTGTAATATTGTATACCTTTTTCAGAAAAGTGTCTTTAGGAATAGCACCACATTTAAGAGGTCCTCGTAGTTTTAGGTAACACTTGGGGATGGACTGTTTATGTACTAGTGATAGGATTCCTAGGGGATCGGCAGGCCTATGAAGGCATTACAAGACATATGCATACGTAGGTGGCCAGTGGTGATGCACTTCATTTAAACTATACGTAGGGCTGTGGGGGCCATCTAGGTGACATTATACAAGATGGAGCTTAAGCTTCTTGATTGCTCGAGAGATTTGATATCATATCTGCACAATATACGCAAGTAAAACATGTGTGTATTATATATCTTCCGACTTCTTTCCCATTATCAACAAATTTTTGCCCCATCCGCAAATATAACCTAATAGCAAGTACTTTAATTCATAAGACGACTTCACCTTAGTATACCTGCCAAACTGAGGAGATTTTACATTAGATCTGATATTTTATCATGATGAATGAACCATATAGGTGAATTCATCAACATAGCCAGAGGGGGAGGGGGGAAGGGTAAACGAGCAGCTGAATTTATTTAGGGTTTCGTTAGTATGCTGGCGTGATGGGGCACTGAGCTAAAGGGGTTCACGGATACTCGAATAGAGCTCATTAGTATAAGAGACTAGTAAACCGCATGATCTGTAGAAACTTGTCCATTCGACATAATTCTTGGAAGCACTATTAAAAAGTCCTGCAAAACCTATTTCTCTTATGAACCATTGTTTGCGGCTATTTCAGGAGGCAACTCTTGTGTGAATCCGTTAATTTACGGCAGTTTAGGCCATTTCAATAGTGCCGGCGGCCCTCTAAGTCGCTGCCGGGAACGACAAGATCTAGCTTCCCGAATGAACTTTTTGAGTAGGGGGAACGCACGCGACACAGATGAATCAAGCAGTAGCTGCTCCTATGTATTTACGACGCATAGTCATCAAATGCAGTCGCACCATCAACGCTATCACCATCGCCATCGCCATGGGCGAAGTGCAAATACTGCCCTTGTTTATACACGAGACGCTAACACCGGTGGACAATTTCGTAACCAGCACCGGCAAATGTCCTGCATACAGACTACAGGCCACAATCACGATGCCTTTTGAAACCAAAGGCGACATTAACTCGAGCCACTTGGGGTCCTCTATTATAAACAATGCACTGACTGCGACTGGTCTACTCCATTTTTCTTCTAAATTGTCTCTCGTCTGCGATGAAGAGCGACACCGGAGGGTGTCAGTGACAGTGATGGCTCTTTCGTCTACGATACGGCCACGGCTTACGAAACAGAGGCACGCCGTCTACGTATGTGTAAGTAGTTCTAAACAGAATTAATTTTCGTATTCGAACGTCCGCAGCAATGGGCAGTGCATAGGTAGAAATATATTTACGTTGAAGTATGTACGCGCGTTTCCCTTTCTATTTTCCACTTTTTATGCGTATGATTAGAAAATTGTACTTTTTCCGGTGCCAAATGAGATATTACTTTTTTTTTCAATACTACTGATTTACTAAACGTCGACAGTGACGTTTATATCCAACATCTATACCAAACAGTTTAATCATGATAAGAAATTTCCACACAATGTCAAGGTCAAGAACGTCGAACGATAATTGAAACCCTATTTAAGCTACTATTCCAGCTACTTTGAGTAGTCTTTTCATCCTACACCGACACCTGCACACACAACGGAGTAATAAATCTATTCTAGTTACTTACTTGACGTTTTATTTATTATAAATACTTTCACAAAACGCATACTTTGTTGATAAGGCTTTAGTTGGACCCGGTATGAAGGCTATATATAGCTGAATAATCGATTGAGAAAAAGAAGGTCCCTGCTTAGTTCATCATTGTTCTACTTTATTAAATATATATATTATTCAAATTGCAGATTATCTTCATTTGTCTATTTGGAGCTGTAGGCGCAAAACTGGTTTTGGAAAACCTTTTAGACCTCTTGACGCGTTCTGCCGGCATTTCTACTAGTGTTCCTCACGAAGTGCAGAAATAGGCCTAGGCCTTATTTAAATAGACTTTGCTATCTGTGCCTTATGTGCCGCATTACTAAAGATAATAGAGACACTTCTTAACACCACTATGGGCCACACGTGACGCGTTCAGCCGTGATCCGTGGAATGTACTGGCGCCTCACATCTGCGCAATCTCTTTAGCTGTCTGAGTGAGGCGCAAAAACTCTATTAGTAACGTGGGCTGTCGTTACGTTTTTGCGCCTCAATGAAAAAAAGAACCGGAAGCTCGATGGGCGCTATTTCACTGCTGTGTTTTGTTTTTTCAAGCCATTTGGTCAGATAAAATCACTCGTTGTAATTGTACGCTACTGCGACGATGTTTGCAGACGCTGAGCACATCTATCTTCAGCGGCATTATCGCATGAAATGAAAGGTATAATGCTATTTTTCGAAAGCGCTTTCATCGGGAAACTTGAAATATAGATTATATTCTATCGAGTCGCATGGCGCCAACCGGCTATATATACGGATATCGAGAGAAATGATAGGTACTTGCCCAGATGTTCAACCTTTACCTCGGAGGATATTTAAGAGTGCTAGAGTCCTTTTATTTCAGAGACGAAAATTGCTCAGTTTTTTCGAACTACTTCTTCAAGCGACTCCTATTCTAGCTTTATTGAATTTGGTCGTCTCCGAGAGAAAGGTAAACCACATTTGGGATTAGTGCTACAATACTATATATCATCGAGAAGCATACATGCGTTTGTATATGCAGATGCATTGGCAAATGAAGGCGGAATGAAGTGTTATAGCTATTTTCGCTATGCAGATGCATTGGCAAATGAAGGCGGAATGAAGTGTTATAGCTATTTTCGCTATGCAGATGCATTGGCAAATGAAGGCGGAATGAAGTGTTATAGCTATTTTCGCTATGCAGTAACTAGAAAGATTAGGTAAATGCAGTCATTAATGAAACTGCTACGTAGGGATTTGTACGACCGGGTGCCGATAGTTTGGAATGAGATCAGTTCTTCCTGATGAAGTTATTAAAAAGAGATCTGGTTAGCAGTCGAATCGGTATGTACTATAGACCGGTACACGCCAACCCACTCTACGTATCGATCTAAGACTGGAGACATTTACGAAGGCTAAATTGCCACTAGTGCATATCTATGCCCCATTCGAAAAAAATCGTCTCATTTCGCTAAATGGAGGTCACGGTAGTAGCAGATTCAGCTGTGGGTTACCCGCTAAACTTTGAGATATCCTGTAAAAATTAAGCTATTATTTTCCATTTAGCCTTTAAATCCGACCTATTTCGTGGATTTTTATATTTCTTAACAAAAAAAATCGATATTAGGGTGGGTTGCATGCCTATCTCGCAGAAGATAAACGTGCAGGAAGCAGGAAGTGCGGTTTTCTATTTTCTAAACTGTTGGTTGTTATATGATGTACGCCATGTATATGCATTGGCATCGTAACTAATATGAAAAATAAATTTAAAAATAACGATGGTTTTTATGAAATGTTCATGTCCTTCATTGTCTAATACTGTAACACGCAATAGTTGCGTTTCTAATGTAATAGAACACTGACAAAGTTCCTTCTTCTTTACATGGCTATCTTATAAGCCTTTTACTAAAAAAATCTGCTGAGAAAATGACCACAGTTTATGATAGATTACTTTTTCCCGTATGTAACCTATATGCAGGTTAGCTACGGAGCAGCGACGAGTGATCTGATAACGTGGTACGGGTCACTGCTATGCACACCGATTAACATTGCGTGAAGTTGCAGTCTTTTGACTGTTTCTATGTTTGACAATATTCTAAACCAAACTGATGTCACATCTAACATCTGGAGGTGATCGACGCTGCTACTTGAGTTATGGCCTGAACTTCCGGGAGAATCACCGTAAGTTACGTACACTAGGGTTCCGGTTACCTGGTTCCATTTATTCTACTCGTGCATTGTTCGTCACCATTGCTTGAAAACTTGAAAAGGTCATATAGAAAAGATCTTTACTGATAACCTGCGATTGGGCAGGACAAGTCCTAATTGGCGAGTAAGCGTCAAAAGTAGCGTCACTTAGCCTTATATAACTGTTATGCGACGAGACTTGTCGACAAGATTGGAAACGGACGATATAGAAACGCTGGTTATTAGGTATAGGACATCGGATGTAAGAGGCCGCGTTGTTCTTCGTACTGAACCTACCGTAGCGAGATTTTGTCGTTGTGCAAAACACAGCTGGAACAACTGAGGACAACTGCTACTCGGAAAAAAAGTCTACTTGTATCCGACGCTCTATTCTGTATCTGTAATCTGTATAATGATCTGATCTTAATTAGGGCGACTTAAGCATATGGCACTAGGCATCGTTGTGCCATAATAGCGTACATATTTCGCATCTTTGGCCTAATCGATTTAATTGAAAGCGTTTTTTATCTATTTCGCAATGTATCCGCACTTTTACTCTTCGTGCCCATTCGGGCCTCTTCGTCTGCATTTTCAGTAGGAGCAATTACAGGTACAGAACGATTGTGGCAATAGTTGTGCAGCTGCTTTCCCGCAAATACAGCTATACTGAGTATCTCTTTCAGTATCGGTTTTGTAATGATTATAAAATGGTTGCCATTAATTAAAGGAACTTTCATTCGAGTGTATGCTTTCCTGTATCGCGAAATCAGGAACTTCCCGCTCCCGTCAGACCTGAGCAGAATCCTGTGAGCCATGTTTTTACTTGACTTTCGAAAAAGAGGCTGTTTCAAAGAGATCAATAGCATAGCGTCTCCAATCGAAGTCTATAATGGTGGTCAACTCAGCTCGTATACGATAAGTAGTTTATGCCCCTAGTTGAGCCGGATGTTTGAAGCTCGGAACATCTTCTTAGATATAAACTAAACGGATTAAGCTGCACGCACCTTTTCGGTTTAAATACAATGAAAATAATTTATATTACTAAAAGGGCTATCTAAGACTTTAGCGGTCGTATTCTAGGTCTGGTCGTTACATCCAAGGCAACAAAGAACAGCATCAAAAATTAGGTAATGACAGAACGTTATAGAACCAGTAATAGGTCAACTTGAATGGTCTCTGATGTGACGCGGACGATTGCTTCCCTTCATATTTGGCTATACAAACCGTACGCGTTGAAAAGGACCACACAGTTTTGGTCTAATTTTAAGTAGATTGCAGTAGGAACAAGTGTTAAGATGTTGGGTCGAAGCGCTTACGATCGCATTAGGGTAATCGTCGGGTGTTTTTCGAGACGTTTTCATGATGAAATGATTGATGTGAACTCTTAGGAGTACATGAAATCTAGTCCTTCGTTGCCTGTAAGCAATATTTTAGTTGATTAAATTTGTCACAAACACATGACCGTTTCCTGCATATGGACGAGCAGAGATGTTCAAAAAGGGTTTATTTATAGATAAGAGCGAATTCGCTGCCTGATTTTTCAAACGAGCTTCGTATCTTTGTAGTAGCTTTTCAACTCTACGGACGCACATAATGCCTGTGTACTTGTGCGTACGAAAAAACGCTATAGTGTGATAGAGGATACCACTGATTGTCAGGATGCGACTCTGAGCAGCAGATATTATTTTACCCCATTGCCTAAACCTACTCCTCCAATTCTACCGTTACCCATCGACATTTGCATCAACGTTTACCTGCGATGCAGGGTGGCAAGACACGTACATTCTCGTGAAGCGGGGCAAGGTATAGCAGCGAGCCGACTGGACATCTGCGTTATCACATCTATGAACAATGTTTACATTTATATTTCAGATTTCTTCCAATGGATATTATGGATGGAATATATTCAAACAGTACGTGCGGCTAAGGATGGAACTAACGTTACTAAAACTCTTCAATACATTAGCAGAATAGGCGCAGATAACGAAATTGTATTGTTCCGTCACGTTCTGTTGCTTGCGCAAAAGTCGAAAGATTGTGCTTGAAAAGGTGCAGCATTGCCGTAAATAGTAACTCGGTTGTTTCGAGATCTGATAAACAGCCCAATAATTCACAGGATGGAGCTTCGTAAAGACACAAAAAAAAACTAGATACGTCAGCAAATTTCCTAGGAAATCTGCTATCACCTCTTACGGAACGAGGCGCAATCTGTTAGCAGCTTCGATGAGCTGTATAACGATGTCGTCTCAAAAAGAGGACGTCCCTGTGAAAGCTGGGTGGTAATGAATGATGTTTGCGAACGAACTCCAAGGGACTACGCATAGCAGTGGTATTGTACATAAAATTCAAAACATACATTTATGTGGCATATGCTGGATAATGGTAATCGACAACCGAGGTTACCCGCGTGATCATTCGCTACGTTCCCTTACGGTTCCTCCAGTACGGCTACAGGGGTTCGATATCACCGAGCGAATAACATGTAAAAACTACGATAACTGCAAAAAGTACTGAATAAAAGAGGGGTGTATACATGGTTCCTCTGTTAATTTGAATAATCTAGATCCACTTAGTTTCGCCCAGGTTCAACCTTGTTTTACAATTTGAACCGGTTCTATATGCGCCATATGGGTACTGGGTAAGTTATTTTCAATACACAACGGCTTGTCTAGAGCAGTTGAGGAAACACTTCTGAGAATCTGTCTTTTGTTCAGCTGATTAAAATTTTCTTTGAGACAGCTGATGATGGGTGTCTGGCGTTAAAGCGAGGTAAATCAGTAGAGTGTGAACCTGAAACAAAGCAGCTGTTGGAAAATGAAGAATACCCTTACGCACACTACTGCGAGGAAATACTGTTTTGGTTCATGTCAGCGGGGCGTGGGCCCTAAATATCTGTGAGAAATGGTTTATCTAATGTAAATTCGTATTATGACCATCTCTGTCTTCTTCTGTAATGTGTTCCGAAATCACCTAGCCACACTTTCGTAGATGAAAGGCACCTGTTATTAGATCCCGATCCGCTCTTAGGGCGCTTCATTAAAACGGTGTGAAACTGCCCTTGTGCACAATGTTTAATGTTCCGTAATAGTAAATAAAGAGTAAAATGTAGAAAAAATATACGTTCTCTTGCCCCTAGAGATAATAAAGGTGTCCACCCATTAGACGTGATCACCTGGACTGTAAATAGTAAGCAGGCAGGTGATACTGCCTGGATAGCTATTGTTAGCGGAAAGCTCCAGTTCGCTATTAGTTATCCACTAATATCGCTATCAGTTCCGACCACCGCGATTCGTAAATTTTAATATATCGAACGAAATACAAATTGAGGCTGCCTTTGTCTTCGTGACTCGGAAAGGTCAAGTCTTCTAGATCATCAAAGAGGAACTTTTAAGCCGTGCCCTTTTGAGGAGAAACGTCTACGTAACGATTATAATTGTAATTTCTAGGACGTCTGTGTACTGCAAAAGGTATCGCGGGTAGGAGCAGAGATTAAAATTTTAACTTTGAAATACTGAAACTTGGCGGGCGCAGGAGTATTTAATGAATGCAAGAAGTTTACTTCATGGCCTACATATTGCACGCAGGAACTTTAATTGCACGGGAAACGTCACTAACAAATGGGCGAACTGTTCACGCTGACAACACTTTTGCGGTCGATAAGATATCGAGGTGAGCAACAGTAAGAGAATAAACTGGGAAAAAATCGTTTTCCCTTAGGTTTACTAACTAATAATTTTTTCCGATTATACAAAAATTATAAAAATTACCCAACCATAGCCAAAAAAAAAATAGTTGTAGACAAATTTTCTTACGGGGTATATTCAATAACCAGCAAAAACTGTTTGACTGTATGTAGCTATTATGCGGGTTAGGACATTGCTGACATATAATGATTGAGACATAAAATGCAACGGCACTTGGTGGCACCCGTTCGATTCTTCTTCTAACGAAAATAGCTCGGCCACCGAGTAACCTACATAAATAAAAAAAATAGGTAAGATAATATGGTCCGCGCGTTCATCAGTTGTTAATGTAATAGTGTGATCAGCATAGCACATGGACACAACGGCAATTTACTTTCTGATTTTGCTTTTCCAACGTTAGATTTTATTTGCATACTCCGCTATGAACCAAAACCAGACACCCCTCTCACGTAACCGACATACTGTGTAATAGACAAAGCCTATCAAGATCTATAGATGATAAATAAGTAAACACAGCCCTCTAACGCTTTGCTAAATAGTTTTTTTCCTTTTTATCGGAATTAGAAATCAGCTCATGACAATCGGAGGCTTTCAGTTCAAAGATTCGTCGACGAACTCAACGAAACAACAGGGACATGTTTAAGAAAACCGAAACAAGATTTTCAAAGAGCGCGCTGACAATTCAAGTTTTTGAGCATTTCAGCGAATGACTCTTAATGCTGGCTTACCTAAAACGAAGACTCAGATAAAGGCAAATACGATAACTCACCTAGTTCGATAACGCCTTATCTAAGTTAGAAGGGTGCCACAACGAAAATGGCTGCCATCTGTATACAGAATTTAAATATGTATGTTC